TGGCTAAAGCACAGCAGGTTGGCACAGTAGGGGGCAGAGGTGGTGCATCAGCCAGTCATCTCAGTCATCTCAGTCAGTCGACCCGTGGCACTTGGGTCTGCCCCGTGACCTCCTGCCAGCGGGCGTTCGACACTTCACGTGGCCTCAAGGTGCACATGGCCTGGCACAAGCGCCGTGGTGACGTCATGGCGGTTGTTGTTGTTGTGGTGTGTGAGTGTGTGTGAGTGTCTAAGCATGTGTACGTGTCAGCGCGCGTAAGTGTGTGCGCGAGCGTGTAAGTGTGAGCGTGCGTAAGTGCGCGAGTGTGTGAGCATGCCACGGCCTCCCGAGGTGGTGACTGCTACTAATCGCTAACAAACCACTTGCCCCAACAGTCTCGTTCCAGGCTACACGCAGCAGCAGCAGCAGCAGAGGGAGGAGGAGGAGGAGGAGCGGGTTTGGGATCTTTATCTCCGTCTCTCCCTTTCTGCCGAGAAACCCTGACGTGGTCTTAAACCCCCTTGTCCTCGTGACAGGTCCCCCCTTATCTCGAGAGGGGCTTGCACGCAGACACCCGCACAGACACCAGACAGATTCTGTCCTGGCCCTCCCACACGCACTCTCTGTCTCAGCAGCAGCAGCAGCAGCCCACACTCAGCGCCCACTTCTGCATCGTCCAGACGCCTCGCACCAAAGACAAAGATTCTCCTGCCCCCGTGTAGCCTGTAACAAGGCTGTGGGGTGGGGAGGGCAAGGGCTGTGAGTGGCGACGAGCCGAGCGCATGAAGGCCGCAACTGTGGTATGCACACACTCACACACACTCACACACACTCACACTCACAACAAAGACACTCACACACACTCACACACACTCACACACTCACTCACACACACTCACTCACACACTCACACACACTCACACACACTCACACACACTCACACACTCACTCACACACACTCACACTCACAACAAAGACACTCACACACACTCACACACACTCACACACACTCACAACAAAGACACACACTCACACTCACAACAAAGACACACACTCACACACACTCACACACTTACACTCACAACAAAGACACTCACTCACACACACTCACACTCACACACTCATACATACACACACTCACACACTAACACACTAACACTCACTCACACACACTCACACTCACACACTCATACATACACACACTCACACACTAACACACTAACACACACTCACACACACTAACTCATACACACACACTCACACACACTCACACATACTAACTCGAACACACTCACACACACACTAACTCAAACACACTCTCACACACACTCACACATACTAACTCGAACACACTCACACACACTAACTCATACACACACACTCACACACACTCACACATACTAACTCGAACACACTCACACACACACTAACTCAAACACACTCTCACACACACTCACACATACTAACTCGAACACACTCACACACACTAACTCAAACCCACTCTCACACACACTCACACACACTCACACACACTCACACATACTCACACACACACACATCAGGTATAGTGGCCCTACTCAGCTGCTACGTGGCTATTTTTTTCAGAAGCCACCTGCCCATCACTAAATGATAGCGCAACCAAGGGGCATCTTATCATCATCGTCGTCGTCGTCGTCATCGTCGTCGTCATCATCATCGTCATCATCGTCGTCATCGTCATCATCATCATCGTCGTCATCATCATCGTCGTCGTCGACGCATAGAAATGCAACAGCAGCCAAACATTCTCAACGCGTGTTTCTACAGACTCACAGAGACTCGTAGAGACCCACAGAGACTCACAGAGACTCATAGAAACCCATAGAGACCCACAGAGACTCATAGAGACCCATAGAGACCCATAGAGACCCACAGAGACTCATAGAGACCCACAGAGACTCATAGAGACCCAGAGACACCCACAGAGACTTATAGAAACTCATAGAGACCCATAGAGACCCACAAAAACTCATAGAGACTCATAGAGACCCATAGAGATTCATAGAGACCCATAGAGACCCACAGAGACTCATAGAGACTCATAGAGACCCATAGAGACCCACAGAGACTCATAGAGACTCATAGAGACCCATAGAGACCCACAGAGACTCATAGAGACCCATAGAGACTCATAGAGACCCATAGAGACCCATAGAGACCCACAGAGACTCATAGAGACCCATAGAGACCCACAGAGACGTATAGAAACTCATAGAGACCCATAGAGACCCACAGAAACTCATAGAGACTCATAGAGACCCATAGAGACTCATAGAGACCCATAGAGACCCACAGAGACTCATAGAGACTCATAGAGACCCATAGAGACCCATAGAGACCCACAGAGACTTATAGAGACTCATAGAGACCCACAGAGACTCACAACCCCATAGAGACCCACAGCAACCCACAGACTCACAGAGAATCGTAGAGACCCACAGAGACTCACAACCCCATAGAGACCCACAGCAACCCACAGACTCACAGAGACTCATAGAGACCCACAGAGACTCACAACCCCATAGAGACCCACAGCAACCCACAGACTCACAGAGACTCGTAGAGACCCACAGAGACTCACAGAGACTCATAGAGACCCACAACAGCCCACAGACTCACAGAGACTCGTAGAGACCCACAGAGACTCACAACCCCATAGAGACCCACAGCAACCCACATACTCACAGAGACTCGTAGAGACCCACAGAGACTCACAACCCCATAGAGATCCACAGCAACCCACAGACTCACAGAGACTCGTAGAGACCCACAGAGACTCACAACCCCATAGAGACCCACAGCAACCCAGAGACTCAAAGAGACTCATAGAGACCCACAGAGACTCACAACCCCATAGAGACCCACAGCAACCCACAGACTCACAGAGACTCGTCGAGACCCACAGAGACTCACAAGCCCATAGAGACCCACAGCAACCCACAGACTCACAGAGACTCATAGAGACCCACAGAGACTCACAACCCCATAGAGACCCACAGCAACCCACAGACTCACAGAGACTCATAGAGACCCACAGAGACTCACAACCCCATAGAGACCCACAGCAACCCACAGACTCACAGAGACTCGTAGAGACCCACAGAGACTCACAGAGACTCGTAGAGACCCACAGAGACTCACAACCCCATAGAGACCCACAGCAACCCACAGACTCACAGAGACTCGTCGAGACCCACAGAGACTCACAACCCCATAGAGACCCACAGAAACCCACAGAGGCCCATACCAAACGCTAAACCATTCATAAATTTTGAATCAAAACTTTCGTGACTGCAGGAATTCACATTCTTTGTTGCCTTCGGCAAAGTCACGTAGACAGCTTTTTTTTCCGTTGCAACGCAAGCTATCGGAAAAAAAAAGCGATCTACATGGACTTTGCCGAAAGAAACAAATAATTTATTTGAATTGTTACCGGGTAAGGCCCCAATGGGCTCTGTTGCTCTTTGTCAGAAGCGACATGGCCATCACAAACGACAGCTCAACGAACTATCATCATCGTCGCGTTGGAAATTTCTCGCAGCCGCCTGAATAAACGCGTGGAGACGTTGATTCTAAATGCGGCGGGGGGAAAAAACCGGGGGCCACGTGGAGAGAGAGAGAGAGAGAGACGCAGACTTCAAATACACAGCAGCAGGCATGAGGGTCTGGAGCAAACCCACGACCTCCTGTACACCAGGCGAGGGAGTTAACATCTCCTAGCCACCGTGGCGCCCCATTCAGCAGCGGATAGAGCACGGCTGATGCTGCTGCTGCTGCTGAGAGAGACACGCAGACTCCAGATATGCAACAGGAGGGGTCGTCAGGGTCGGGGATGGGACCCGTGATGACCTCCTGGCATGGCAGGGCGAGGTAGTAAACTCTTCGCTCATTTTGTTTTACCAGGCGCAACGCCCCACTGAGCTACGTGGCCATCACCAATGATAGCTCAAGCAAGTGGCTTGTCATCATCGTCGTCGTCATCATCATCATCATCACGTGGACATTTAGAGCAGGAGCCAAATACTCCCATCAACGCACGATTCCAAAAGTGGTGGGTAAAACCGGAAGACCCGGAGACAAATCCACGCGACCACGGGGAGAGAGAGAGAGAGAGACACGCAGACTCCAAATATACAGCAGCAGCAGCAGGCGTCAGGATCGGGATCGAACCCACGACCTCCTGCATACTAGGCGAGGTAGTTAACATCTCCTAGCCACCGTGATGTCCGAACGCTCGGCTCATCGCGGCCCTGCGTGACTCACCGAGTTTTAAAATGTTGGGTTTGAGCCCTGGGTCTGGGTGTCTGCCTCTCGCAATCTCACAGTAGGGGTTTCATAATGGCCGTGTCTGAATGCAGCTGTCTGGCACCACGCGAGGTTCTGATGCGGAGGGTTTGTGACCATTTCCGGTGGCCCATGTGCGGATCAGGATCAGAAATTACCGGAATCTTTATTCTGACTGCAGGAGGAGGAAGCTGATGAGCTATAAAGCTCTTTACCACAGATGCCCAGCATGGGCCACGGGAGTCAGAATTTTACAGCAAACACAATTTACAGACACACACAATACTCACAGATACAATACTCACAGACACAACAACTCACAGTCACAATACTCACAGACACAACACTCACAGACACAACTCACAGACACAACAACTCACAAACACATCACTCACAGACACAACAATACTCACAGACACAACAATACTTAAGGACACACCAACTCACCAACACAACACTCAGACACAACAACTCACAGACACAACAACTCACAGACACAACAGCACTCACAGACAACAGCTCACAGACACAACAGCTCACAGACGCAACAATACTCACAGACACAACAACTCACAGACACAAGGGGGAGTGTAAAGCGTAGGAAAGTTAAACAAACCAACTCGGTCATTACCACTTCAACCCCTGATGTGGATACCGTTTGTCCGACAAATTGGCACCACTCGCTTGAAATCACCCACCAGGAGGAGGGGGGGGGGATGGTGGGTTGAGTTGAACCCCGGTCTGGGATTGGCGTCGATGATGACGCTGATGACGATGACGATGTCCAGATGAGGATTTAAACCTAAAAGACGATTAGGAGCAGAAAAAAACACAGAGAAGAATGGTAAGCCAAGTTGACTAAATATAAATACATCGCAAATTGGAATTCCCTATTGATCAAGCCGAGGCAAGGCAGCAACAACAGTCCCAGACCACACCAAGGTGCGAAACTAAGACGGCACATCAGCAACTCAACTGTATCGATACTACCCGGGGTGTAATGAACAAAGCGACGAGTGACATTTGCTAGTGTGACTGGTTAATGTGACTGGCTGCTCCTGGCTGTAAGTAAACATTGGTCGTTAAAACCACCACCGCCACCACCGCCACCACCGCCACCACCGCCACCACCGCCACCCAACCAACCACACGACCACCGCACCAAACACATCCCCAGTCAGTCACGGACGTTAATGTGACTGGCTGCTCCTGCTAAAGTATCCATTGGTCGTTAAAACCACCGCCACCACCGCCGCCACCACCACCCACCCACCCAACCAACCACACGACCACCGCGACCAAACACATCCCCAGTCAGTCACGGACGTTTTAATCACGTGATCAAAACGTGCTGCCAACGAGGTTGCTTGTGGCAGCACGAGGTCGGTCGGCGTCCTTGCGTTGGGGGACGGTGAATCCGCAGACTTCTCCCGGCGCGCGAGCTTGCCCGTCCGCCTCCCGCCGGTAATCACATCCAGCATCGTTGGGCAATTTCTGCCAGGAAATACATTTCGGCTGGGGCCGAGCTCGTAGCTGCTTGGCACCACCGCGTGCTGTTGACGCGGCGAAGCCTTGCCGATTGGCCGTGCCGGGTGACGACGGGTTAAACGAGGCATTCGTAATCGGGCGAGCTAACCCGCTAAAATAAACTAAATTACGTCAAAATGTACCGTCGTCATCATCAGCATCATCAGCGTCATCGTCGTCATCTATAAGGGGTAAGATTGGACGCGGATTTGACGCTGCTTTATCCCAGCGCCGGTCTTCCGCTTCAGGATAATAATTTTAATTTCGGGAGGGAAGATTTTTGCCAAATGCGGCATCTCTCTGCTCATCTCCGTCGGCGACCTCGGAGGCAGCGGTGGAAATTCCACGTTTCCATGACCGAGGGCCAAACTCAACCCCCAGCAGTGAGCTAAAGACGCTGATGATGGTTGTAATATTACCACGAGTGTGTGTGTGTGTGAGTGTGTGTGACTGTGTGAGTGTGTGAGTATGTGAGTGAGTGTGTGTATGAGTGTGTGTGTGAGTGAGTGTGTGTGTGAGTGTGGGGAGCGATAGTGTAGCGGTTAGCGCGCTGCGCTATGAACCTGGCGACCCGGGTTCGATTCCCGCTCACGGCCAACACCAGTGACGATTATCTGAACCGGTCCCGGGCCTCCCCTAGGTCGACTCAGCCTCAAATGAGTACCTGGTGCGGTGTGTAAACATCGTCACTAGGGAGACAAAGGCGGTCGGGCGTGGTGCTGGCCACCCACCCCCTCGTGTACCGTTCCGGCCTTCATAGGTGCTCGCTAACAGCACTTGCCCCTACAGTCTGTTAAGGCTATACGGGGGATCTTTGTCTTTGTCTTTTGTGTGTGTGAGTGAGTGTGTGCGCGCGAGTGTGTGTGCGCGAGTGTGTGAGTGTGTGTTTGAGTGTGTGTGTATGCGAACTCCGGTGACCCCGAGTTGGATTCCCGCTCACGGCCACCAACACCCAGTGACGATTATCTGAACCCCTAGGTCGACTCAGCCTCAAGTGAGTACCTTGTGCGTTGTGTAGTGAGCATCGCCACTGGGGAGACAAAGGCGGCCGGGCGTGGTTGCTGGCCACCCGCCCCCACAGTTCCGGCCTTCATAGCGGCTGCTACTCGCTACAAACAGCACTTGCCCCCAACAGTCTGTCAAGGCTATATGGGGGATCTTTGTCCTGTGTATAAATATATGTGGATGCGTGTTTGCTGTATATGTATATACGTGTGTATATTTTCTTTGTCTTATGTATATATTGAATATGCGTGCTCATGTATGTTTCTGTGTTTGTGTCTATATATAGGTTAGGATGTGCATTTGTGTGTATATATTTACGTGCTTCATCTGTGTGTGTTTATGCGTGCTGAAAGCGGTGGCTCAGTGGTTAGCGGGCACTGCGCTTCGAACCCAGCCACCCGGGTTCGATTCCCGACCACGGCTAACACCGCTGATGGTTATCCGAACCGGTTCTGGGCCTCCCCTAGGTCGACTCGGCCTCAAACGAGTGGGCTGGTGGAGACAAAGGCGGCCCCGGCGCGGTGTGGTCGTGCCGGCGTTCATAGGCGCTGCTATTCGCAGCTGCGGGCACTTGCCCCAACAGTCTGTGCAGGCTATACGGGGGATCTTTGTGCGTGCGTTGGCGTCAGCGCTAGCGTAGTTGCACTACGAGCCCAGCGACACCCGGGTTCGATTCCCGCTCGCGGCCATCAACGGCGGCGATTATCCGAACCGGTCCTGGGCCTCTCCTAGGTCGACTCGGCCTCAAACGAGTGCCTGGTTGCGGTGCGTGAACATCGCCACTGGGGAGACAAAGGCGGCCGGGCGTGGTTGCTGACCACCCACCCCCTCGTGTGCCACAATGCCGGTAGCCTTCGTAGGCGCTGCTGCTGCTGCTACTCGCTACTCGCAGCACTTGCCCCAACAGTCTCCTGCAGCCTTACACTTGGGGGGGGGGGATCTTTTGTCTTTGTGCGTGCGTGCGCGATTCAGAGGAGAAGCTGCAGCCTGCACGTGGCAGGCAGGGGAGGAAGGGGGCGGGAGGGATCTCCTCCCTATCACTGCCACGCACGCGCAGGGGCTAATGGGCAAAGCGTGCACGGGCTAAAACCCCCACACAAAGACAAAGAGGGATCTCCCCCGGCGTAGCCTTCAAACAGACTGTCGGGGCAAGTGCTGTTAGCGAGCGCCTACGAAGGCTACCGGCAGTGTGGCACACGAGGGGGTGGGGTGGCCAGCAACCACGCCCGGCCGTCTTTGTCTCCCCGAGTGGCGATGTTCACTACGCACCGCTGCACCGCGTACTCATTTGAGGCCGAGTCGACCTAGGAGAAGCCCGGGACAGGTTCAGATAGTCGTCACCGGTGTTGGCTGTGAGCAGGAATCGAACTCGGGCCGCTGGGTTCATTGGGCAGCGCGCTAACCACAGACCCACACGTGTTACACACACACACACACGTGTCACACACACACACACACGTGTTAAACACCCATACACTCACACGTGTTACACAGACACACACACCCACCCACACGTGTTACACACACACACACGTGTCACACACACACACACGTGTCACACACACACACACGTGTCACACACACACACACGTGTTAAACACCCATACACTCACACGTGTTACACAGACACACACACCCACCCACACGTGTTACACACACACACACACGTGTCACACACACACACACGTGTTAAACACCCATACATTCACACGTGTTACACAGACACACACACCCACACGTGTTACACACACACACTCACACACTCGGTTGATTCACTCCAGTCACTCATCGGCGGTCATTCCCCTCCTTATCACTCGTCTATTGCTACTACCGTGGTTACTGCATCCTGTAAAGCTTCACTCCTTGATTCCGCTAATCAAGCAGAGAGCCCGGTCTACCAGACATGAACTGCGTTGTATCACCCACTGCATGTCTTACCACACCGCAGGTCTCACAACAACCCCACTCACTCGCTCGCTCGCTCACCCCACTCAATCACTCGCTCGCTCATCCACCCACTCATGCACCCACTCACTAATTCACCCACCTGCTCATTCACTCACACATGCACCTACTCACTAACTCACCCACTCACCAGCTCACCCAACCACTCGCTCACCCGCCCACTCACCCACCCACCCACTCAACCACCTACCCACCCGAATACCCACCCACCTGCCCACTCACCCACCCACTCGCCCACCCATTCACTCACTCACCCACCCACCCGCCCGCTCACCCACCCACTCACCCACCCACCCACTCATTCATCCGCTTACACACCCACCGACTCATCCACTCACCACACACCGCAGGTCACCTCACTTCTCTCTCTGATTCTTCCCTCGCACTGCCCCACTCTCCCATCTACATCGTCCCCACCATCGCCGCCACCACCAACATCACAATCATCACCACCACCATCGCCACCATCACCACCACCATCACCAACAAATAACTTAACTCGATTCAGGACCCGCGTTACACTCCCCTCCGTGACACCGTTGGTAGTGCTGTTTGTGGCTGGCCGCTGGACGTTTGGGAGCCTTTGGGCCTTACTGTGCTCGGGGCAACTGTGATACAAAAATTATGGATTAAACTAAAGAGACAAAGATACCCCGTGTAGCCTCTAACATACTGTTGGGGGCAAGTGCTGTTAGTAGTAGCGAGTAGCAGTAGCGCCTGCAAGGGCTGACGGGACTGTGGCACACGAGGGGGTGGGTGGCCTGCACCATCGCTCGCACACACGCCGCTAAAAACAATTCAACAGCTGTAGAATTATATTCTTGGTTCTTCCGGTAAAGTCACGGAGAAGGGAAACAATAAAATAATCATAATAAAAATAATTAGAAAAAATTTCAACAAACCATTTGCTGACAGTTGCAAACCGGCCCCTGTACACACACACCCCCGCCCCTTACCCCGTCGCAGGAATGTGGAATTTCCACCACTGGCTTGGAGCCGCATATGGGGCGACACACGGTGGCCAGGAGATGTCAACTATCTCGCCTAGTACGCAGGAGGTCGTGGGTTCGATCCAGACCTTGCCGCCTGCTGCTGCTGTGTATTTGGAGTCTGTGTATCTCTCTCTCTCATCATCATCACGGTGGCTAGGAGATGTTAACTACCTCGCCTGGTGTACAGGAGGTCGTGGGTTCCATCCAGACCTTGACGCCTGCTGCTGTGTATTTGGAGTCTGCCTGTCTCTCTCATCATCATCATGGTGGCTAGGAATTGTCAACTACCTCGCCTGGTGTGCAGGAGGTCGTG